CGATTCTATCTTGGAAGAACTACAAACAGAATGCTTCTTAAAGAGAAGGATGGGGAGATTTCATCTCAAGTACTTTGGACATGTTTCAGGAGAGCTCAATCCCCGGAGAAGGACACTGTGCCAGGTAAAATGGAGGGGCAGTAAAACAAGAGGAAGGTCCTCGATGAGATGTATTCATATAGTGGCTGCAACAATGGGTTCCAACCTAAAAATAAATGTGGAATGGTGCAGGACCAGGAAGTGTTTTTTTCCCCCTGTTGTACACAGTGTTGCTATGAGACAGAACCAACTCAAGGCAATTAAGAGCAACAAATTCAGTAATGGCCATGTATTAATTCAAAAGGAATTACCATCCTTGGCTACAAGAGGCTAACACAAAACCCAAGAGTTAAACTTTAGGAAACTCAATTTTAACTACAAATAGAAAGATAATTTTTCATGATTTTGAAAAGTTTCTGTGATCATTAATCTTCTGCTGCTGGAAATAAAGACAATAAACAGTAACTCACTAGTGATTCTGTGGTAAAGAAGAGCTGAACAGAGAACAGTCAGGCAAATTGAGGTGAAAAATTTTGATCCTTCTTAAAATATGCAGCATGGGACTTAACATCTTTACCATCACCCATAGCATCCAATCATCTATAGAATTGTATTATGACCTTTTCAAAATCAATTCTAGACAAGGCTCCTACAGGCAGCCCTCAGGAGACGGGGCACACGAGTCATTTGAGTGCAAAGTGTACTCACCAGAGGTTTTGCATCGCTGGCTTGAAATAAGGAAAAACAATAGGAGCCCCAAATGGGGCAGCTGCTGTACTCGTCTCATCTCTCCAACAGTGTTCGGGAAGGGTGATGACTTACTCGCCTATTTATTGGGCAGATAGTAATGTTAGTACACTCCTCCTTCAGGTTTCTGAGCCTCTTTCACTAATGCAAACATTGAGAAATGCCAGGAGGTGTGGTCAAGTGTGTTTGTCCAAGTAATATGATAAATCAGGAAGAATACTGTAGAGGTATGGTCGGGGAGGATGAGGAAATGATTTTTCCCCCTCCTGTCTCAAACCTTTGGGGTTCTCTTTCCTTACGCGCCTTCAGACCAAGGGACAC